GCCTATTTAATTAAATAGGATTTAAAAATCCTAAGTCCAGCCTCCTCTATCTGATATAGAGCTGGTAGATATGTTCTTGGGTACATTGTCTGGTCCATTTTTCAACCACTTGATCGGAAGCTCTTCGGCTGGGTTCACCGAGTTGATATTGACAGGTGAAAGAGTAGAAGATGGAATCAAAAGTGGGAAAATTCAGGTGGTTGTGTCTTCAAATGCTGTGAAGAAGCCTTTCAATGGGAAGAAAGAGGCTAATTCTATGTACATCCAGAAGGGTCATGGTAAAGAAGATTGTGATCAAGCTGTGGGGGCAGTTATGATTTCTAATCCTACACCAGTGCGACAATAAAAATGGTGTAATCAGCAAAGGCAAGACGAACCCAAGTGACAATTTACCAAAATCAACATGCAATTGTATCAAGCATTACAACACATGTTGAGGATGAATCTGATTACGTTGATAGAACCTCATCCAAATTCCAAAACATCTTCTCCTAACTACAATCCCGATGCAAGGTGTGCCTATCATTCTGGAAGTCTTGGACATGATACTAATCATTGTTGGATGCTGAAATACAAGATTCAAAATATGATTGATGCCAAGGAGATTGAATTCGACCCTCCTAAGACTCCCAACGTGATCACTGCTCCCATGCCGAATAATGGCCAAGATTGAGAGCGTTTATTTCATTTGAATTCTCAAATTGTAATTTCTTTTGATTATTCGAACACTTATTTTATGTCAAACTTTGTTATTCCATTAATGCATTGCATATGTTTGTCTTGAATTAATCCATTTGTTTTCATTATACTGAAGCTATACTTTTACTTCCTTTTTGTGATATTCGACTCTCGATTGAAAGTTGTAAGCCTTTAGAGGGAGGTTAACAAAAACGATACCACAATCTCATACAGCGTGCTTTTAAATAGGCCTTGCTGACGATGTACAGGCATTGTTTCAAATTCTAAACAGTGGAGTTATAAGGATGACAATCCCTAGTCAACCCCTTTGAGCCTAAGAAGTAGGAGTTTTATTTTTCATGCAAATTGAAACCTTTAATCATAACCTGGGGCAGGTTAGTTTCTGAGTTAATTCAATAGTGCACTCAATTGCAAGCTTTCCTCTCGTACACGACAAGTAGTGTCAGAGGTATCATTGCCAAAAAAAAGATGGTGATGGTTCTGCATAATCATTATAACAGGCAGTCATTATCTCTCAAAAGAAAAGCCCGTTAAGTCAAAACCTATGAAGGAGACTTAAGAAAAAAACTGGGGCATCCCGCTGACTGTAATCACAAAAGAAACAGTTCAGGAAAAAAGTAGGGATAATAAAAAAAAATAGGTCGCTACAAATCCTAAAAAAAAATAAAGGTTACAAAAATGACTGCTTTCTCAAATAAACTTTCAGTATCTGAACCATCACCGGAATATCAGGGCCAAGATTCCAGAACTCAATTGGGATCTAAATGCATAGTTAATTGAGTATAGGACTGAAGAACATCATGAAGAACAAGTTGGGTACAAATAAATTTCGAGCCTTTATCCTTTGTTTCTTAAACTGTGAACCAGACCACGTTACAACCCCTAAAAGTCCTAGCTGAAGCATGGGTTAGTTCGAAATCATATTGTTTCAAAAAGGTATCCTGACTCCTGTAAGGTTTTCTATAAATCCCGAGTTGATATCACATTCTTGCAAATTTTGTTTTACTAAAAAATGAATTTTCAAAAACTTCAAGACAGACATAAGCTTTCATTTTTAATACCACTATTTTCATATAACTAATTGTTCAAGAATAGAGAAATTTGCACGACGAATATTCATTGAACGAAAGTCCTCTCAATGAATAAAATCACCTCAGATGGAAAGACATCTCCAATAACAGGACTTTCATAATCAAGAGACATGACATGGTGTCTAAACTGATCTGGGGGCAGTCAAGTCAAGATTCAAGGAATCCCTCAAAAGCTCTGAATATCCAGAGGCAGACCTCCATTTGAATCACTTAGGGAATTGAATAGGAAGGGCCATGTGCGATCAAGAAAATATTTTCTGGCAGTGCTGCAACACTTACTACTATAGAAAGTGACAATTTTCCGCACCGTGTGAACATGGACATAATCGGAAAATACTATGCATGAAAAAAGACCCTCTAGGTTGACTGGCCTAGGAAAAAGTAAGGGCATCAGGACGAACCAAAGGAGTTTGGGCAAAAATTAGGGATATATAAATAAAATTGTACACCCGACAAGTAGAAAACCTGAAAAGGAGGCTTGGGCAAAAAAGCGTATCCTGGTGGACTGAAAATCTGAAAGGACAGTCCAGGAAAAAGTTAGGGATTAAAGTGTATGACTATGTCCCGTCATCTCGTCACTTGTCTATCAATAGAGGGCTTATCACCCTGATCAACATTTACTCAAGACTCCAGGAGTTGGGATAACATTCAAACCATCCACAAAATCCCCAAAGAGTAACCACCCCTAGAGGACTATCTTCGTAGAGTTCGTCATCAGTAAGGATACGTTCCCCAGTAGGTATGGAGACAAACACGTCCTCCCGCAAAGTCATTGTCATGTCTTCAGTATACAACCTAACAATTTCAGACATTCCAGCATCTTCTTATCAAAAGCTTCAATCATCTCCCCAACATCTTGGATATTTCTTCAACTTGGTTCATAAACTTATTAGGTTCCCTAACAGGGCTTCATAAAGATCCCCAAGTAGTTTACGGAGTTTTCTTTCCCTCGTAGAGTTTATTTCTCTAGCCACGGAAGTGCATCTCCCAACAATTCAACTTCAACAAATATTGAAGAATCAGATTCTTCATCCCCAGCAGCAGTCAGGGATTTATCTTCTCTTAGTACAACGACACCACAAAGAGCAACTGCTACGCTCACATATTACAGTCATACAACATTTACAATACATCGTAGCATATGCATAATTGAAATGCATATAGCATTCTCATTTATTTTGAGAGCATCATGTAGTTCATACATCATGACATCGCATGAAACTGACTTTACCTTTTCAGGTTGAATTTGCAGACAGACGAATACTATCAACTTATGCATAGCAGGTCAAATATTAATGCCCAAAACCAGATGGGGAAACTATCTACACGACCAAGTCGTATGAACTGTCAGAGCAGGATGAGTTTACCAACAAATATAGCAGGCCATAGATTAATGCCTGAAACCAGACGAGGAAACTATATATGTGACTAGCCAAAAATAGGCCACAAATTAATGTCCGAAACCAGATAGGGCAACTATCTCAATAACCAACAAAAACAATTCCAGCTTAATTCTTGAAACCAGACAGGGCAATTATCTGTGAACAATTTATGAAGATCAATTCCTGAAACAAGACAGGGTGACTATCTACACGACTAGACGAAGTAATCCTACACGGGTTCCTTCTCATAATCTCTGGATGTAGCTTTACACGGGCTCATCCTGAAGCAATCTTACATGGGTTCCTTCTCATAATCTCCGGATGCAGCTTTACACGGGTGTAATAGCCCAAATTTGTCCTACCCCTTTGCTTTTATCTAGCTTATGCATCTTGCACTCTTCATTTCATCTTCATACACTACATTAGGTCATTTGACACGTCATGCATCATTAATCAATAAGCTTAGCATTGGATCCATGGTTTTTATGAACAGGATTAGGGTTTTGTCAATTGGCTGAGGTGTATATGTTCAATAAAGCTTGATTTTTCTGGTTATTTTCCCAAGGCAGTGAAATTGTGGGATTAGGGTTTTGTGTTCATGGATGTTGTGGATCATTCTTAATCAAGCTACAAGGTCATCCTCCATCGAGAATTCACCAAGCACAAGTGGACTAGGGTGTCACATCTTCTATGTGTGAATTTGTAACATTTATAAACTAGGGTTCATTGAGCTTCATATTATATTTCTTTCTATACTTCAAGGCGCCCTCAAGGAATCGTTATTATCCATAAAATCAAGATATAGTGTGAATTGGATTGCAAAATGCAAGCCATGGTAAAAAGGTGATATTGTGGACGTATGACGTGACCAAGGCATTGTTATTTGTTACTTCAATTACAAAAGACGGGGCTAAGAGGGAAATTAAAAGTTGTTGCAAGGAGGCGAGATTGACTTGGTTTCGCTTTTATGGAATCGTTATTTAAAGTCATTTGAAGTGCTACCTAACGTCATGGATTAGATTTGTTTGGAGTTTTCAAAATAAGAAGGGCATTTAGATTTCTTGAAGAACAAGTGAAATTATAAAAGCATTAACGAAGTATGGTCATGACATTAAGCTAGGTTCAAGTTGAATGCAAAATGGTTATAGTCAAACAAGGTTTATTCAAAGGTCATCCATAATTCTCAAGATAAGTTTGTAAAATCAAACAACTTAATTCAATGTCCATCAAGATTTTTTTACAAATTCATTCAAGTGTCCAAGGCATTACCAAGGTCAAGAAAAACTCATTCGAGTTCTATTTAAATTCACACAATCATTACTCATTTTTACAAAATCATTACAAGAAAATACACCGAATATTACAAAGTTACAAATAAATCCAACTCCCATGACCAAGACTTTTCCTACTTTTCACACCATGAGTCAAGTCTCCATTTAACCTGACATTATGCTTCTTATCCAAGTTGATTCTTTAAGCCCTCTGTCGTTCTTCAACTCTTAATAGCCTGCATCACTAAGGAAGCATATCTCAATTAGCCAAAGTTCAAATGACCCTGCAACCTATAGTTGAAACTGCAACCTATAATTGAAACTGCAACCTATGTTCTAACTCATACATCAGAGTTCAAAAGAATTTAAATATTGACATCTCTGAACCTGCGTCACGAAGGCAATAAGACCGGAAAAACACCAAGTCAGTCTGCACCTTTGTCTCATGAAATCCATGCCTAAAAATCATTCTAAAATCCCTATTGATGCAGACGCGGAAGTAAACTTGCAGAGCAAAACCTAAGCATCATTTTTTTCAAAAGGTAACACTAAGTTGGTCATGGGCAAGCAATTCTCTTTTTTGATAAGCCTGCAAATTCAAAAGACGACACATTCAAGTTGACACCCGCATGGTGTTCAAAGAAAATCCAGAATTCATGTGAAACAAGTTCAAGCAAACAACAGTTTCTAACAGACCTGCATAAATTGATAAGTGGAACCAGTTCGCTAGGCATCCGGCAAATAGAAGATGAAATCAGGCTGCTACGAAAACCAGCTCCTGTCTAAACATAACGGTTAACCTACAGGAAACTGAGAAGGGATTAAGTCAGAAAATACAGCTCATCTTAACTGAATTCTAGAATCAAAACAAAAATCTAACAGAAAATCATTATCCAACAACCCCTTAACTTTCCTAACATATTCTAACAAAAAAAACAAACTACAACTAACTTTCAGAACCGCCCCCAACTGTCAAAACAATAACTGTCATAACAAAAACTAACCTCCTAGATGTAACGGAAATAACATAATTTCCAACAGTTTGCAACCTCCTCAATCTAGACCCTTCAATTCTATAATATATTTTATCAATCCAAGGGCTAAAATATTATTCCATAACTAACTTCTAAACAAACAGAATTCCTAACTTCCTCTAACCACCTCTAACCAATTCCATAACAAACAATTTTTCTTGTCCTAACAGTTTTCTAACTGACTTGTAACCAACTCCCGAACTGTTCTCCTAACCACCTCTAACCATGTCCTAACCTCTAACAGAAAAAAACTCATAATAGTTTCCAAAAAAACTTCATAGCATCTCAACAGGATTCAGTTACAAAAGAACTCAACAACAGAAAGAGGATCAAACAGTAACAGAAGGAGAGAAGAATTCACTATCAGATTTCAGGGAGAGATTCAAAGAATCATGATAACAGAAACTCACCTTTTCATTCTCTCTTCAATTATATCTTCCAGAATCTCCATGCTTGAATCTTCATCTTCCTCAATCTCTCAACTCTCTGCATCTTCAATCTTCACATCACACTCTCTTTAATCACCACCTTAATTTTCATCTGCTTCAACGTTTTCAATGTCATCTTCATCGCAACAAAATCATTGCATCTTTGTCATCATCATCAACATCACGAATCCACAATACACATTGACAATCTTCATCCGCAACAACAGTCTATGTCTCTGCAAAAGTGTGATCATCAACACAGTGAATCAACCCTTCGCTTCTCAACAAAGCGCTCGATCCCTACAATGCACAGAAATGCATCACAGAATCGAAGACAAAATCAGTAAAGGAAAATAGAAGAATAAAATGCGGAGAAGAATGTTCGAGCAGAAACAAGGTATACCTAGAGTCACGCCTTCATCTCCTTCACCTCCGACGTAGGTTACTCTGGATTCTCTCATCTCTTTACTGGTTCTTTGATATCATTGTGTAGAGGTCGATGTGTAGAACGGAAGCCCTGAGGAATTAGGATCGGAAGCTCCACCTCAGATATAGGATTTAGCTGATAGGCCTAGGGTTTTCAGAGAGACTTTGTTAAATTTGGAAGGGAACACTTGAAATTGGATAAAATCAGAGGAGGTTGAGAATCCATGGATCAGAATTAGAGGCGGAGATGAGATGAGGTTAGAGGTGGTTATTTGGGATCGTGGTGGTGGCAGCGGTGATATCGCCGGAAATCGCGAGAGACAGGAGAGAAAATGGTGAGTTGAGAGAGTGTGAGAGTCTCAAACTCTCAATCTGAAAACGACGTTGTTTCAATCGTCTTGGTTTTTTAGAGACACAACGGGTGGGCCGGATCTTTGAATGGTTTTGGTGGTCTTGTGAACCGGACCAACATACAAGCCCCACCCTTGGGCCAGACTGCATTATCCTAAGCCCAGATCCATCCATTTTTTGTGAGAGTTTGACACAATAAAAAGAAGACTCTATTGGGCTCATATTGGATGGGCTCAGCGTCCAGACTCCACTATTACAGCATAATCCCTGATTGCAGCCTTGCACCCCCCTGACTCTATTATTTGCATTCTTGGAATTGGTTTTCTTTTTGTAAGATATGATAAAAACATTAATAAAATTTAGTAGAATATATTAGAAATTTATTAGGAATTAATTCTTTAGTTTTTTTCTAGAATTTCCTTTACATAAAAAAAACTAATAATAAAATTACTTTTCCTTTTAGTTTCTAAAAAAAACTAGTAAATCAAAAATCCCTTTTCACCTTTTTTAGTTTAGTTTTTTATCCCCATTTTAGTGCCTCTTCACTATGTTATGTTTTGACGCGTTTGTTCATTGTACAAGGTACATTTTTGTGCTTTCGATCATATAACATAACAAGTAGTTATATGATCGAAGAAGGCGACTTATACTCGTTCTGATTTCTCATCGTCCTAAGAAAATTCATATCGTGTTATATATTGTCCTGACGCGTGTGATGCTTTATGAGCTTTATGCAGGAACTTATGATTACGCGTTGCATTCGCAACACGTGTTTGCCTTTATCTTAGTTGGATATTATTTTTGACTTTGTTTGTTTCTTGGTGAAGCTTTCTTGACGCGTACTCCCTGCTTCTCCAGTGCTTTCGTCTGCTTTTGACGACTTGATCGCTTTGGTAGTCACCGCTATTACCCTTTTACTTCTTCGCACTTTATTGCATTTCGTTATTGCTTTCTAGATATCATGAGAAGTAGGAAATAAAGAGCGTGCATTCGAATTTGTTGTTTAAAGACCTGTAGCAGGCATTCCGCACTTCATTTGCTATATGTGTTATGCTTGTGTTTGTTTCTTTGTTTGATTGATTGATGAGTCACTCAATTTAGGAATTGAGATCACGACTTCGCTCTCAGTGCATGCTCCCTATAGGATTTTATCGCTTTCCTTTATTTCTTGTTGATCGATGAGTCACTCAATTTAGAAACTGAGATCACGACTTCGCTCTCATTGCATGTTCCCTATAGGATAGTTTTGTTAGACTTTCTTTGGCATGCTAACCTAGGTAGGATCTCTTTAGGTGTGCTCTCTTGAGTTTATTGGCTTGTTTGATTTATCCTTGTACATACCATGTTCCCTTAGGATGCGCTTGCTCCGTTCGGATGCAAGTTAGACCTTAGGTTGTAAACCATGCATGCTAACATTAGGTAGACGTTTCCCTTTTGTTAATCCAAATCTTAGGGCTATCATTGTATGATAACATTAGGTTTAGAAATAGGCTAGTATCCCTTAGACTCTTTTCTTCCCCTTTTTGCATCCTCGCATCTAAAAATAAAACTTCTTTTCTTAGCAAATCAAAAACATGCTAATCTCACTTAAACCCTTTTTCAAGGTAACAAAAATACAAACGAATTCAAACTATTTTGTGCGCTCGAGCACCTCTTCTCTAAAACCTTTTTCAGGTAAGGACGTGATTAATTTACTTATGTGCCAAACACATAAGTCTCCAAAGGTCTAGCTGCGGCAGAAGGCGGAATTAACATTGTCCATAAAAAACAAAAACAAACAAAAACATATGAGCCGAACTACGGTAGCTCTAATTTCTCAAAAAGGATACATAGGCATTAGGGTAGGGCCTAAGCGAGTACAATTTTATTTTCCCTACATTCTTTTCTCCTTTATTTTGCATGCATTCTCCCTTTTGTATACTAAACAGTAAGCATAGTTTAAACACACTCATAAGATAGAACAACAAGAGTGGATACCGTAGAGTACTACGGGTGTGTGGGGTGCTAATACCTTCCCCTCGCGTAACAGACTCCCTTACCCGATCTCTCGGTCACAAGACCGTGACTTCTCCCTTCTCAGGTTTTCTCGATGTTCACCATTCCCTTCATGTGGGATAAAAGACGTTCGATGGCGACTTCATTGTTTGATGATTTTCAGCCGGTTGTTTCAACGGTCTCATCCTGAAATAATCTTACACATGTTCCTTCTTATAATCTCCTGATGCATCTTTACAAGGGATCATCCTGAAACGATCTTACACTGATTCCTTCTCATCCTGAAATGCAGCTTTACACGGGCTCATCCTGAAGCAATCTGACACTGATTCCTTCTCATCCAGAAATGCAGCTTTGCACGGGCTCATTCTGAACCAATCTTACACGGGTTCCTTCTCATAATCTCTAGATGCAGCTTTACACGGGATCATCCTGAAGCAATCTTACACGAATTCCTTCTCATACCGAAATGAAGCTTTACACGGGCTCATACTGAAGCAATCTTAGATGGATTCCTTCTCCTCCTGAAATGCATCTTTACACGGGCTCTTCCTGAAGCAATATTACATGGGTTCCTTCTAATAACCTTTCAGATGTAGCTTTACACAAGCTCATCCTGAAGAAATCTTACACGGGTTCCTTCTCATAATCTCCAGATGCAACTTTACACGGGCTCATGCTGAAGCAATCTTACACGAATTCCTTCTTCTCCTGAAATTCAGCTGTACACGGGCTCTTCCTGAAGCAATCTTACACAGGTTCCCTCTAATAACCTTTCAGACGCAGCTTCACACGGGCTCATCCTGAAGCGATCTTACACAAGTTTCGACTATGACATTTCCAGATGTAGTCTAACACGGGCTTATCTTGAAGAAATCTTACACAAGTTCCTACTAAGACATTTCCAGGAGTAGTCTAACACAGGCTCATCCTAAAGCAGCCTTACACAATTGCCTTCTAATACATTTCTGGGTGCGGCTTGACACAGACTCTTTCCAACATTTCATTTAGATAAAACTAGACGCAGGGTCATTCTAATACTCCTATCAACAGTTACTTTGGATGGCATCTTTAAGCCCATCTCCGACGATTATCCGTCATCTTCTCCAACTGGCATCTGTAAGCCCATTCCCGATATCATCAACCAATAGTGTTACTTCATGTATATGCGAGTGCAAATTTCTGGGCGCTCTAGTGTTCAATTATCTTCCACCTTCATATTACGAAAGGAAGACGAGCCAATCTAAATCCTTAGGTTTAAGAAGATTGAACAGGGGCCACTGTTGTATCCCAAAATTTTCCCTCCCATTTTACACAAGACATGTTCATTAAGGTCTTCAATTGCTCAAGGTTGACCAAGAATTGATCAGACAAATTCTCCTCCTAAGCAATGGCCTTTCAACTAGGGTTTCACTTTTCACCAAGATGTGTGATCTCCAAATGTATCAAGTGTTTTCCATGGTCCTAGTATGTCTTCAAGATTGTCCATGCCAAATTTCATGCCTTACACTACAAGTTTGCTTAGTCAACTACTCAAGTGTTTGAAAATCAACTTTACGAGGTCAAAAGTCAAATGTGGCCAATATATAGTCAAACTTCAAGATTTTTGGTCAACATCAACATTTTGAAATGATATCCATCATTTTATCAAGGGATGATCATGATTCCTCAAGGAATGCTCTTAATTTATCAAAAGTCAAGAATTGCTAAATTAGGGTTTCTATAGGAAAAGTTAACTGAACTTTGACCAGGCATAACTTTCACATACTTCATCCATTTTCCCCCAACCAAATCTCATTTTGAATATAATCCAATTCCCTACAACTTCTCTTTTATCCTCAAGCTCAAGAAATGCATCATTTGGAAGATATGAGCTCATACATTACATGTCATTTCCAAAAAGTCAACAAAAGACACTTTTTATCAAGACAACTTACATCAAGATAATATCTTCAAAAGCAAAAATTATCAACATAGAGATTGTAGATGACAATTTGGTATTTACAAAAAGTCCAATATCATATTCAAAAGATGAAAATTGAGCAAGTTATAGTTTGCACAAGTTAGGCAAATTTGTGAAAATAATGCATGAAGTCAACTTTGAGAAAAATTGCATTTTTAGGTTAATGGACCTAACTTTTAGGGTTTAAACATTTTTATGACATAACCAAGGACCTCTAAACCTAACCATGCACTAATTTGATTTTTATTTCTATTTATTTGAACTTTTATTCATTTAAATATGAATTAAATCAAATAAATTAAATAAAAATACAAATAATAATGGGCCATGGAATTTGGGTTTGATTTGATCTATTAGAAGGCCCATATTTTCGTGCAAGATACATCCAAAGGGACCAGGTTCATGCAAGTGACCAAAGAGGCAAATATATCACAAATATGGACATTTTTCAATGTGCTTTATCCTTGTCTCCAAGGCCATGAATGCATTGATTCTTTACCATGTTTGTTCACTCCTATCTTCCATCTATAAATACATGACATTAAAAGCCAAAGGGAGCACGAAATTTATCTTCAAAAAGCTCTCCAAAAGTCTTCTCAAAATTCTAAAAAAAAATTAAAAAGTTGCAAAATCTGTAACTTCACTTCCAGGCGCTATCAACCCAAACCAAAATCATCAACCCTCTCCTGAGTTTCCCAGGAGTCCTCCAGAGCCCAGGTTCAAGCC